AAATGTTTTGTTATTGCAAACTAAGAGGAACTCAATAGAGCGCGACAAGGGAACAAATATCCACAGAAACTTTAATGAAACAAGCTGCAAACTAAGACATACTTTTTCCAACCCACTCAGTTCTAGATTTCCATAGGAATCCAAGAGAAGTTTTCCTTTGGGAAGGTGAGCGGAGCGTGTGAGGAAACGGAAACATGAAAAGCAAAGGCAAAGGCAAAAGCAAATTGATGGTTGGTTAGCTGACTGTGTGCGTGTGTGTAGATAGTAGGAGCTGGGTGTCCCTACTTGGTATTTAAAATAATAATCGTCATTTGCTACACCTGTCGTCGAGTTTTTATGCGTGTCATTTGCAATGGCAACGACAATGTTTTTGCATAATTCTCATAAAAAGTAATTTGTAAAATTTTCGGCAATAAAACAGTTAGAATAAAAGTGTCACCTTGCGGAGAGGGAGAGCGTGAGAGAGAGAGAGAGAGAGGGGAGAGAAAGAGAGAGAACTGTAACCCAACCATAAAAAACTCATATTAATAACTAACGAACAGCTCTATAAACCTCCTTAATTTTGGGTACATTATTTGAATTTGGACAAGTCAAAATTACAGGGTATCTACTAAGTGGTTGGAATTTGGAAAATTACTTCAAATTATTGTGAAAACTGCAGAAGAAGCTAAATTAATGGAAGTTGGGTTAAATACATAAAGAGAGAGAGAGAGGGACGGAGAGAAAAAGAGAAAAACACATAGAAAATGAAGGAGACATGTAGAATGAGTGAAAGAGAAAGAGAGAGAGAGATGCACAAAATATAACAAAAAAATTTAAATATGGAGAATTTCTCTTTAATGTATATAAATTATATACTATGATTATCCTGTATTATATTCTCAATACGGCATAAATTTGCCATTAGATACTAATTTAATTAAGTTTATGCAAATAAAAAATTTGTTTATTTTTTTTTATAATTTTTCATACTTGTTCACGATATAAAGAAGAGTATATTGGCTGTATATTGGTATGAATACACAACATAAGCTAGTCTCTTCAAATTCGGAACCTATATATTTCCTCGTATTCGAATGTGTCAAACGTTTTGGAACAGATACTAGATACTCTATGTTTAACAGGAAAATTGAAATTCGATTGCAATTCTTGTTGATGTCATCTTCAGCTATAGAGTTACGCCTGCTGGAGGCGTGGCTCATTCTGTGCTTGGCCAATGGTAAAAGCTTCAAAGTTTTTAAGCTTAAGCTAAGAGTGGCTGTTAGGCTATAAGGGTTCTTCAGACTGAGCAGAAATGATATAAATTATATATCTTATATATATCTTTCCTAGTTCTTGGTTCTTCATGAGCGAGTATTATGCAGTCAATTGTGTTCGACTGCAGCATTTTTTACTCTCAAGTGAAGTGTCACTAATGAACACCTTAAAAAAACAGCAAACTAAATATGAACAACGTTGTTAAAACACAACAACGTAAACACCAACGGCAACAACAACAACAACAATAACAAGACAATGTTTCGAAACGAAAAATTGCAACTTTATTTTAGATGCGGGACATCCATTAAAATGGCTCAACATATTTCAAGTGTGTTTAATTTTAAATTAATTATGCCTGCAAGCATGTGTGTGTGTGTGAGTGTTTGTGTGTGTGTGTTCATGTGTGTGTGTAACATACACACTCTTACATCAACACAATTTAAATATGTAATGAAATTTGCGCATAAAACTTTAGCTTTGCCAGAGCCCAACTTTCAACAAAAAAATTAAGCAACAAAAAACATGTAAGCCAGGCGCCGTCGAGAGTGTGTGACTAGCTAATACCCTGTATCCTAATATTACTGTGCTCGGGTGTTTCCACTGACGTAAAGTGGTTTTGATAGTCTTCAAATAATACGAGTTTTCAGTAGCAAATTATTGAGTTTTCATGTCTCACTATAAGCTTTAATATATAGATATAAATATATAAATATATAAATATATAAATATATAAATATATAAATATATAAATATATAAATATATAAATATATAAATATATAAATATATATATATTTAGATACATAGATATATATCTATAGCTATAACTATACATATCTAAATATATCTCTATAATCTTGTGGCTCTTCGAGCTCAACGTCTGTTGCATACATTTCTTAAATTTCACAATACCCTGTTATATTGCTTCTCTTAATGCTTCAGGGTATATGCATGCAAACAGAGAAAAAGAAGAGAGCTAACATAATAATGTTCGTAGTCTCTTTGGTCATGTTGCATGCAGCAACAACAACAAACTAAACAGCAAAGCCTTTGGGTAGTGGGAGACAGAGAGACAGCAGCAGCAGCCATAACCAGTGGGCAGTTTAAAGTGTTATATATAAATATGTATATATATACATAATACATATCTACATATATATATATATATATATATATATATATATATATATATATATATATATATATATATATATATATATATATATATATATCTATATATTTGCTGCATTTTTTGTTAACTGGCAATTTAATTGGAATAGTTTTGGACAAACATCAACAGAGCAATGTGGACGGGCCATGGTGGCTTTGAGAGCTAATGCAAAGGGATTTGCTGGCTGGAGCTAGCTGAGACTCGACTTTTAAGGCATGTTTGCAATGGCCAACTGAACTCGGCTCAATAATGGCTGCCATGCCCTTGGCAACCTTGAAAGACATGCAACACATGCAGCTATCTAGTACCCCTCTCGCTCCCTCTGCCACGCTTGCTGCTTGCCATTGTTTTATTGGGCACATAAAACTTTATTTAATAACCGCTGCATGCTGCGAGCTGCGAGCTGGCCATAAAAAGCGGCTATTAAAATTGCAAAACAGAACAAAAAACAGAGAATGAATCAACGAAAACATTTAAAATAAAATCATGCCTGAGCCCTTTTTTGCTGGGCGTGGCAATGGTCGAAATTTATCTTCCTACAGGCTTTATGCACTCATTCTTTCCCCTCCCACGTCTTGGCCCTTCCGGCTGTGATGTGTCAATGAGGACATCGCCTGGCTGAGAATGACGTAAGGATTTTGATTGAAAGGATTATTGTTATGATATTTTCATTTGGACTATAAACCCATTGATTTATAGACTTGTTTTCGACAGCGAAAACTGTAAAATTCTTTAAATCTTTCTCAACTAATTGGCAGACACAAGACTTTATTCTAGTATTCTTTTAGAAAAATTTAGAGGCAAGCAGTCATCTTAGTCATCTTAGCCCAGTTAGTCGGTTCGTCCATCCGCTTGAATGCAGACTTAAAATAACAACAAAATATAATATATATTAAAATATATATATATATACTATCTGAATATCGATAAGATGAACAACTCGAAGATCATTAAAACTTGCTGCTCGTAATAAATAAATTGATTCTGTCAAATTGCGTTTTGGATTCCCTAAAAATTTTATAGTTTGAAGTTTGCTCAAGGCACATAGAATTAATATTAAATAACAGAACAAATCTAGCTCCAAACTAGCTAAGCGACGACTACACACAACTATGTATCCGTGAGAAGGTAGTGTAATTTGTTTGTCTTCTTTTGATTTTAATACATTCGTTTAAAAACTTTGGTCATATTTAATGAAAGTTAATATTTTGCTAACTTGGTGGAATTTGAAGTCAGCTGAATCTTGATACTATATTGCTGGCTTTTACTACACCCGTCGGCTACTGTTAAACTGATTTATTTTTTATGCCTGAAAATAATTAAAAAACTGAATTTGAGTATTTTAATTAATAATAAATATTTGTTTTTGTTTTATTTGTTTATTTTACGCACTTTGTTTTTTTTTTATTAAATTTGTTGTTTTGTGTTTACGTTTCATTATGACGACTTAGCTTTATAATTTTTTATATTTGTAACTAGACGATTATAAATTTTGCCATAAATACATTTTATATATTTTTTTCATTTTATATAATTATAATTAAAAGTAATAGAACAATCAAATTAAATTTCAATTAAAACATTAACTCTGAGTGATTAAAATTAAGCTCGTTTGGGTTAATGCTAGTGAAATATATGTAGTTGAGCACAAAATTTGTTTAGTCATACAAGAATATTAACAAATAATAATAAATAAATTGATTATGCAAAGTTAGTACTTGAAAAGTGTTTTAAGCACATGAATGTAATTAATTTCATTTAAACCGTGCTTCTTTTATTTTCAAAATTATTATTAATTTTTTTACCAAGGCTTTGTTTTAAGCTCAATTTATTGCCTGCTTTTGAAATGCAATTTAAAACGAATCATAAATCAATTAAACGCAACTTGAAAGTGTTAAAATGTTTTTCTTTTTATGCTGTTGAATGAGTCCGTTTTTTCTGCCCATTAAATAATGAACCATTTGATTTATTATAAATATGTAATTATTTAAATTGAATGCAGTTTGCACTGAGCTTTTTTAATACTTGAATTTGTTTCAATATTAATTTTATCTTTTTGTTTATTTTTTTTTTACTTTAAGTAAATAATACCACATTTTAGTTTAAGTTTTAATTATTTCGGATCTTTTTCATCTTTGCTTTATATATATACATTGTTAAATACCAATTTGATTTCTTAGTCAACTTTTTCATGTGCTTTTCAAATTTGCAATCATTAATCTTTTATTGTTTGTATTTATATATATATATATATTTGCATATATATTAGCTAATTACTCTTGCTGAATGGTAGAAAAAATCGTGTGCTACACTTAACGATAAAATATTCAAATTTCTATACGTTTGCAGCTTATAGACACGCTAGATTGTTATATTCAAATACATATATATTTATATTCATTAAATTCACAACGGATCTAAGTGTTGACTAAACTAAACATTGACTAACATCTTCTGCTATTCGACTATATATTTACAATACCTTTTCAGCTAACATATTTTAACTAAATTTTCTACTGCAATCTTATGGTTCACTTAACAATGATTTGATATATTTTTTATTTTTTCCTTTTACTTTTCCGGTTTTTTGTTTTGCTTATTTCGTAATTCTCAACTGTTGCTTAGGCTATGAAAATGTTCTCTTAAGATTAAACAGAGCTTAGGTGCAGTCTAGTAGTTTACGAGTTCTTTTCGGCTTAGTCCGAGAAGTTTTTTTCGTCGGAGAAGCGCACGTGATGCTGCTGCTTGAGGCGGACGCCGGCAGCGTTTGCGCCCGATCCGCGCTTTTTCAATGTCGCCATTTTCACAATCCCGTTTCCGTTTCCGATTCCGTTTCCGTTGCTGTTGCCGTTGACGTTGCCATTGCCGCTAAGGCTGAGGCCGCCGACGCCGCCGCTGGCTTTAGCGTTGCCACTTCCAGCCGCTAACGTGGGCGACATGGTCGCCGATGTGGTCGTGGATGTGGGCGAGGACAAGTTGGTCCACTGTTCATCGCAGGAGCAGTAACCGCGCGCAACATCCCCGCCCTCGAGCGCCAGAGCGTGAATCTCTCGCTTGAACTTGAGTTTCCTCAGCTGCAGCTTATGCTCCGTACTATTCACTGCACCACCGCCGCCGCCTTTTCCACGTTGCCTTGCTAAAACCGCTGTTGTTCCATGTGCTGCATTGAGTTGGCTGTCATCGGGGCCGCTCACTTTTTGCGCCTCTTTGAGGGCATAGAACTCCTCAGGCGTTTCGACACGTAACGTCTCTATGGACCTGTAAGTGGCAAAGACCGAAAAAAGTTGAAAAATATAAATCAGTAAGAGTTGAAGTGTGCCAGTGCCTGACTAGCACATGCCCTGGCAAATACTGTTTAAAGTATCTAAATGGCTATGTTTTATCTATACACTTGAGTGGACAGCCTCCTGCATAAGGCAAATAAAATAGATAATTTTAAGAATATAATAATTTTGCGATGTCTTTGAAGTTAGAGCACAAATATTTTTTGTTCTCACACAGCTCAAGTTCAACAAGAGAGCCAAGCTAGTATACCCTTTTCCCTAATTTGCAATGTGCAAAGGCTCGAAAACGACTTTGCCTTTGTATATTTGCATGCTCACAGTAAAATTGAGAACCCTTCAGCAGCTCTTCATATTCTGTTTGGCTCCATGAAAAAGTTAATTACGAACGAGTTAAGCAAAAAAAAAAACAAAAAATATTTATGTATTACGATTGCAGCTCGGGCAAATGAATTTTGATAAGGGTCATCAAAACTGCGGCTAATTAATTATATTTGCATAACAAAATAAAAACTACATGGCGAAATAATTATACAATCGTAGAAAGCTAAAGCCAAAATATTTTTTAATTTTTCTCAATAATTAAAATACTAAATATTGTGTAATTTATGACTTTAACTATACTTATATTGACTATTATAAAAATAATAAAAATTATTGCAATTTGATCGATATGCAATTGAACTTCAAAATTTATGTTTTAATAAATAGATAATCAATGAATGAAGGTCACTCACAGTTGAAAAATTAGTTAAATTTGTGATATTTTGTAGCCAACAATGAGACTTAATTATTGTTTAAGTTTTTATAAATCTAAAATCATTTGAATTCGGAAATTATCTCGTCTTAGAGGATAGATTTAAAAAGTAAATCACATAAATCTGTATTGCTGACACCACCTTTTTCGCGTTCTCTTTCTTTCCCACCCTCTCTCTCTCTATTATTTTAGTATTATTTTAATTGAATACTGTTGCCCTTTAGCTATTGCTTTATGGTTTAATTATGTAATTTATTTTCTGTAATTTTATATTTATTTTTCAATTTGATTCAATTTAGTTATTATTATTATTAATACTATTGTTTATTTTTATATTTTTTGTTTATTTACTTTTATTTATGTTTATTCTGTATTATTTAAATACCAATAATATTCGGTTTCTATTGGCTTCTATTAAATATGGCTTGGCAGTACATTAAAGTGCAATAGAAATTTAGGAATTGGGCTTGCACCAAATGAATTTTATTTAGGCATAAAATAAAAATATCGCTTGACATATATATTTTGGTTCTAGTTTTTGTTGGCAAACAAATGAATAATAGAATTAAGTAGTAGAAAGTGAAATGTAGCTTCAAATGCCAACTGAGGAGGGATCAGAATCAACTCATTTATTTATCTACGAAGCTCAATTCGTGTCAAGCAAATTTCTGGTCCAAAATTTTAACTCGAAATCAACTATTTGCAAGTTATGAAACGCTGGGGCCACTTAGCACGGTCGTATGCAAAGTAGCTACTAAATAAGCACAGCTCTTGGAGCGCTATCTGCGATGACCTTTAGTTTCTTTTTAGCTGCAGAATCAGTTATGTGTGTGGCTGTTGCTGCTGCTGTTGTTGTTAGCTAACCATCAAAGTTTACGAGCTATGTTTATGAACAAGTTGCCTTGAGAGCTGCCATTGCCACGCCCATACCCACAACCACACCCACACCCACGCATAGATGCGGCCGCTGAACCACAGTCGCAGTCAGCATCACATCACTCTGTTCATTTGTGCCTGGCCCTGAAACTCTTTGTTCTTGCATTTGTATCTGTATGTATGTACGCGTGTGTGAGTGTGTGTGTCTGTGTATCTGTATCTGCAAACTAGTCCATTTGGCGCTGCTTTGCATCGCATACTTCATTGCGCTCTGTTGGCGTTTTCCATTATGCTTTTGTGTTTGGTTTAAAATTCAACGGAAAATCTTGTACAGCAATGCATCTATCTAGTTTGTCCCCCAACGCCCATTCCTAACCACTCTCCCTGCTCCCACCTTTCCTTCGCTCGCCAATTTTTTTGTGCGTGCTCATTTTTGCACTACAGTAAACTCAGTTTGTGCCTGGTCGCGAGAATTTATGCAAAGAAAGCGAAAAGTGCAAAGTAAAGTGCAGCTACAGAACGCGCGCGGATGCCTTTTGTTTTGTCCGCATGCTGTTGCTGCTGTTGCCGCTGCTGCTACTGGATGGCATTTGCCGACTGCTCCTCGCATCTTTTAGATATCCCCAACTCCCTTGGGGTGTGGCCTGCTGCCGTATAGCTGAGCGCACAATTTGCCGCAGATTGCCAGCAGGGGTAGTGGAGAGGGAGGAATGAGGGGTGGTACTAAACTATGTAGGCGTTCGTTGGTGCGCTCAGACTTGACTTCAGACTCAGCAAAACTGAGCAATGCCCGTAATGCAAATCTTAGCTACAATGTGTGCATTGTTGAGGAACGCGAAAGAAAATATTCAGGGTATGCATTTGTGCGAGCGTGTGTGCGAGAGTGTGTGGACCATCATTAACGTATTACACGCGTGTTTGCAGCCACTTTGCATATCTTGTGAAAAGAATAATGAGCATAGACTAAGAAACATGGGCACAGCTTAAAGCTGTTCCAAGTGTGAAACATAATAAACTCTTTGGCTAAATCATGTCACGCTTTTGCAGTTGTCAAGGAATTAGATTAATTGAAACCAAATTGGTAAATCAAATTAATTATGTTTGATTACCATAGATGGTATAGCTTGGAGCTGATGCAATCATTTAGTACTGCTGCAAAAGAGTGAATGAAAACACCGTAGCCCAAATAAATTAAAGGAAATTGTAGAAATTTACAATGTTTCAACATTTTTTTGATCAAATTTATATTACTATTTGCGAATTATTGTGAAAATTCTAGAGGGGAGGAGTTAAGGAAGGCAATAAATCGACAATAAATTTATACTATTTTATAGTATAAGAGAGTCTGACATACTGACAGATATAACTCTGTGTATATCAATCGTTGTCACACTCAAGCAGAATATCCAAAGAATGTAGAGTAGTAGAATTATATGCATAATATAATAACAAATATGCATAAATACCAAAAAATATTATTATACAGTATATTTCTATATATTAAAATTTTTTGTATTTAAAATCTAATATATATTTATATTTGTAGTAGAAATATATGAACACATTTAATATGCTTTACTATATTGTGTTTCAATTACAATTATTTAATAAACAGTTATTTATGTAGTTTCTACTGTGAATAGCAGTTAAGGTAAGTCCAGTTATATGTAATGTCTAAAGTGTTTCGCTTAACTCTCTTAATGCCTAGCGTGTTGGTAACAGGCTTTGCAAACTTTTGCACTAATTACAAAATTCGTTCATCTCACACATAGGTATATGTATGTATATATATATCTATGTATACATATATATTTAATTTAATTACTCAAAGTTTTCACCACAATTCTGCAAGTATCGAATAAACTTTGGCCGAAACCTCTGTGTGTTATTAAATATATAATTTAGTAACTTCTGCCCAACGATATGAATGAGAATAAATGATTTATGTGCTATAGAATAATAACTTATGCACATCAATTTAAATTTAGCTAAAGTATTAGAGCAGTGCCATTTGTATGACTTAGTGTATCGACATTCTTTGAAGACGATAATCTATGCAGTTAGATAATTAATTGGATTGTGTAAAGCTATAAATTTTAGTTTAAAGATATTTAAATTCTCATTCTAATCATGAATTCTGCACACTTCTACTCATATATAAATATATATATATATATATATTAACTATTCATTTCATTTAAGTAAATGTACGTAAGTACAGCAAGTCGAATGAGAAATTTCAGCTAATGGCGACACTCAGCTCAATCAGCAAAGCTGAAGGCTGAAGTATGAATTTCATGTTATTTGATATTTACTTCCAAATTTGCTTTAAATTGATTGCAAATATTGAAAATAGTCTACTAAATTGAATATGATGTGGAAAGAGCTATCAGGTGTAAGTTATATGTCAAAGATAAATCAATTGAAGTTTAGTTTAATTTCATTGTCTTGAGTGTGACTTTAAGTGTGAATGATTTTTATGGTAATATAATTCTAATTGTAGGAAAACGGAAAAAGGAATTGTTGGGCAAAAGTTTTGGCTGCTATAAATTAAAACAAAAATATTCTGACTTGGAATAGTAAATATATTATAAATAATATATAAAAATATGACCAAATAAACGTAAGTTTTAATTGATTTATTTTGATATTGAAAAGATTCTGTAAGGTGCCTAGTTAAAAAGCTACATTAAAGGAACTTAAGAAATACACTCTTTCATAGTATATTATATATAAAAAGTATAGCTTGGCTTTGGTGCAAATGTCTCTATATGCGAGGTATAAGAGTAAACTTAAAATTTCAGTATCAAATGAAAAAAATGGTGCGACCTAATTGAAATTTGATTTTTATTATGTATTTTCTATATAAAACTAAGAATAAAACTAACTAACTATAAAACTAAGGTTATTGAAAGAATAATTAAAAGTAAATAGAATTTCTTCCTGATAAATTTTGAATGGTTTCATCAACAACAAGCTCAAAGTAAAAATTATTTCATATTTAGGTATAGTTAATTTATAATTTATAAAGGATTTTGTTCTTATAGAGTTTAAAGAGTTTTTCTTAAATAAATATTGTGATAAAAAATAAGCCCAAAGGCTTCAGCTACTATATGCCATACGTTTTAAGGACTCCAACATTATTTCCTAAAAATAGATAGATATTTAGATACTTAAATCAATTCGGTCATTGATGTGGGGATAAATGAACTTTATGGAGTGCCAAGGATTTAAGAAGAATATAACCAGATTCGACGAAAACACTTAAATTTAACTTCTATTCTCAATTTAAAATCCCTTTTTTTCTTCACTCAATTTGAAATCTTTGCAGTTCGCTAAAAAAAATGATTTTCCAACTATTTTGCTTATTTTTGCTTTGTTTCTTTGTTTATCGGGCAAGCAGCTCTTTGTGTAGCGACCATTATTTAAACAAGTGCCAAAATATGCACAGCTGGCAGCAGGAAGAGCTGAAACAAAGTGTAAGAAATAAGGAAAATTAATGTTTATTGTGCTCTTAGCACATATACACTTCGGCAGAGGCGCTCCAAAGTTTCCGCTGCTCGTACACAAGTGTGCACAACCAGTGTGTGCGTGTGTGTGTACCCGCCATATATGGTGGGTGTAAATTTACATAAAGGTTGCCACTTGCTGCTGTTGCTTTTTTCTTTGGCACGAAAATTGCATTTCCCCGAGCACAAGAGCAAGAGAGAAGAGCGCAAATGTTAATCAGCTAAAAGTTAGGAAGGTGGAGTTGCTGCTGCTGCCGCGTGGACCAGCTACTTTTGGCCAGGTGTAAGTAAAATGTGGGGAAAAAGTGCTGAATGAAATGCAAATTTAATTGTATGCCAGCTGAATTAATGGGCAGCGCACAAACTTGAGCATCCGCATGCCCAACAACCACTTTTCCTGACTATGCTAAACTTAAGTGGACAGCGCGGCATGCGGTTAGGGTATCTGGGTAGCTGGGTTGACAAATGCCTATAGACTACTGTACATCTGGCTGATTTGATCGGTCGAATGTCTTCTTTACCGTCGGCAATCAAATTTCAAAGTAATTTTTATTCATTTATTCAGCATTCAAGTTTTTTTTCATGAACTCGTCAAACCCTTTAGACAAAATAGCTAATAAGCTACATAGAAAGCTATATTTTTAAAAATTTTACTTTTCACGTAAAAACTAATGCAGTCTTGACATTTTGAACGTCTTGCATTCAAATAAATTGACTTTATTTAGCTATTTAAAGTCAGCTTTTGTTAAGGTCTTCAGCAATTTGAAGCTTGAGCGAAATACATCTTTCAGATAATTATAAGACTCCGCCAACCATAAATTTAATATCCATTTTATGGCAGGTGGATGTTGATGACTTTTGAATGCATGTCAAAAATTGACATATTAACATAGAAGTCCAGCTACAAATTATTTTAAAGTTTATTTTGCTTCGCTTTGCATAATTAATTTCTCGCCCAGTTGTATATTAAAAATAAGGAACTGAAAAAAACATTGGTCCTTGCTTTGGTTGTTTTGTTGAAATGTCAAAGTTCATGCGACTAGGCTGTCAACTTGTCTTTCATTCTCACGGCTTTATTGCGAATTTCCTGCTTGTTTCTATTTTTTTTTTTTTATTTTTGTCGCTGTGCAAATTTTTCCATGTCAGCAGCTGTGACATTTGAGCAAGGGAACTCTTCGGGAATTTCAATTCGTCTCTTTTATTTTTATTTTATTTTTACTTTCATTTTTATTAAATAAATATCAACAGCATTTCATACAGCCACATTTATGCCATGCCGTTTGTTATATTTAATCAGCACTGTCGACATTTTATTATTTCACCTTCATGTCAACCTTGTCAATTTGCCAACCATAAGGGCTTAACATTTTTGTCACATTTCTCGGTGCAAGTTGGTATTTTAAGGAATTATATAAATGACTATGAAACGCAGCTTGGGCATACTTAAATAAATACTTAAAGAATTCTATTGTTTCGAACTGAATATATACATAAAATATATTTAAAAAATATATATTAAAAAAAATTTTAAATGATGAGAAATATGGAAAATAACAAGAATGTTCTTGTGAGGACTGCTTGACTAGGAGATACCCTGAACTTTGCGAAGCGCTGCAAGCAACGAGATCGAGGCTAGATTGACACAACTCGTCGTCTTGATCATGAATATATATACTCGTCTACTGATACACCTTCCTCTGCCTAATACATACATTTTCACAAAATCATTGTACTCTGAACTGAAGTGAAATCTGAAAATATTCACACTGAAGAAAAGTTGGCTTTTTAAGTCTTTATATTTGGTTAGAAATCAAAGTCAAACATGAACAATTTCACATATGGGTATTATTTGGTCCAAGCAATGAAGGAGCTAAGTCCACCCACTGCTTGGCATCATATAGTGGCAAGGGCGCTCAGAAATATGAATTGCAATTGGAGGCGCAAATACAACGAACTTCAGCTGCGCAAAGCTCTGGACGTTGGGCTACGTTTTGGCATCATATGTGAGGCTTGCGACAGGTATTACCTCTACGAGTACGGGCGAGTGCGTTCGACAGGTGAAATCTCGTATGACTTTAAGCAAAATGAATTTGATCCAAAGGACATCCAATATGACAGCGACGACGAGCCACTTAAATTTCCAATGAAACGAAAGTGCGAAGATGATGGTAAATTGAACTTTAAAAAGCAGAAGCTTAATTGAAATCGCATAAAGAATAATGTTTTCGATTCATGAAATTAAATTACGAAACTAAATTATTAAATGTACAAAAACGTTTGCTGGCTTTTCTGCAGACATAAATATGGTAACGCCCTGGAATTTACGGATGATCGTAACGATGACACGATCGAGAGTGGGAGTGGGATTCCATGAGAATAGACTTAAGTTATTATAGAAGAATTTTAGATATACTATCGCTCCTCGGAGAGACGCGCAGTTCAGCTAGTATATGGAATGTGGAATGAAATTTATTCATGGTTCTTTTCTGATAAATAGTGAATTCTTATCAACTTCTATTTGCAAAATTTTAAGCCTTTGGTATAAGTAAATAAACGTTTTTTTAGTATTTAATTTATATCTATCAAAAATTATTTTCAATCTGTTTTGAATGCAAGAAACCTTCTAGAAGCCTTTTAGTTTAATTTCTACTCTAGACCTCTCAGAATAACCATAATCTTATGTAAGTTATTTAAGCTGGTCAGCCTAAAGGCTTCGTGTGTACTGGCCTGGCGCTAGTTGTGGTAATTAGGCCAGCTGTTGCCTAAGCTCAACTTACCCCGTTGATGACTATAAGTCCAACTCAAAGACCGACACCTATCAGACGCGCATCTCATCAATGGCTGCCTGTGGCACTTGCTGCTGCTGCTGTTGCTGCTGGGACGCAGTCATGGCTAAGCTTTCAGCATGGGCGTTCGACATGTGGCCATGCGAGTGGGCGTGTATGTGCCCCTTGGAGGAGCTGGGCGCGCTGCTGACGCCGCTGCTGCTGCTGCCGCCTGACGGCGTCTGATCGAGCAGCATATTGCCCCCGGGCCCGGTTGCGCCCATGCCAGAGTTGATGCTGCTGTTGGTGGTGGTAGTTGTCGATGAGGAGGCAGTACGCATCGGTGGGCGTGGACCACGTATATAGTGCGGCTGCATGCCCGTTAGCACAGCCCCATTTGGCTGATGTTTACCAACCTGCTGCTGCTGTTGTTGTTGATATTGTTGTAGTTCTGGAATGAAGATAGAGCAGGGAACTTGTAAGCTACTTATGTCGTTATGCATATGTCGGCATATTATCGAGCAAATGTTTGTTGACGAGCAGCGAAGCTACCAGCAACGGCAACAGCAACAGCAAGAGCAGCAGCGGTAGCGCCCGCACCACAACGCGAGTCAAATTGTAAACAACAACAGCAAGAGCAACAAAAACAACGTTAAACATTAAACACACATCGTCATCGTTGTCATCATTGCCTCATTGCCATCGACATCATCATTGGCTCTGCTGCGCTTTTTATGCTATTCAATTGCCAGCCAGTTGCTCGCCTCCGCCGTCTCCGTCGTTCCACTCATCGCTCAAAAATGGCAAATGTCTGCAGTTATTGACGCTGCTAATATTTTGATGTTCGCTCCTGCCCTGCGACCGCATGTCAAATAATGTGACACTAAACCGTCGCCTTCCCCCTTCCCCTTCCATCAGCCATGCATGCTCCTACACAATATGAATTGTCTGTGTGTGTGGGTGTGTGTGTGTGTGTTAGTTAATTTGTTTGCTTGCACTGTAAATAGAATGCAGTTTTATTGCTGTGCTTGCGAAAATGTCTAGCAATATGAAACGCCCTGTCGATTAATAATCATAAACGACAGACAGTCATGTTGCTGCATGAATTTGCTGAAGCTAAATTACTGAACTAATTAGTTGTCATGGATAAGTAATTAAATGACTCTTCATTTAAAGTGTGCTTAAGCTGCTTATAAAATAATAATAATTTAATGTAAAACTCAAATTTGTTGGCTTCATTTATATATTTATATATTTCCACTTATATAATTATACTTGGGTATCTCTACCTCTATCTTTACTTACAATATATTTACTTTTGCTTTTAAATAAGTTCAAAATCATTTCCTTTCAGCTCAGCTTGGTGTTAAATTATTATATATATTTTTTTTAATATTTTAAAGACATTTCTGAATTAAGTCTTTGTTTCGAATTTTATATATTTTTTGTTTTATTTTTTTAAATTTAATAAGAAATTTTTAATATTTTTCAAGCACACATATCAATTCTTTATACCTAAGTTTCAGAATCGACTAAAGTAGGTTCTAATTCAATTTAAGAGTTACTTTAGACTAACTTTAATATATATTATATATACACATACATGTACTATGTATTTAATTTATAATAACTGTGCATTAGGTGACATGTTTATAGCTTGAATTTCATATTATTATCTGAAAATATTCTTGTCCCTCAATTATATCAAAGTCAATAAATTCTTTGATTTGGGGTATTTTAGAACTGACTGACTACAAATAAAATGTTAAGGCTATCACTGCCAGTTGACACACAGTAAAATTTAGAACACTGTGGGCTTGCTTACATTATGCATCTCAGTGAGCTGTTTAGTTTCAAACATATTTTTGCGTGTCTCTCCAAGGACGAATAAAGCCTCAATGGGCGTGCCTTAGGGAGCAGTTCAATTAAAGCCAATGGATACTTAAGCTGAGGCTAGAAAAGGTGGCCAAAGTGGATGGTAGCTTAGGCTGAGATCAAAGCTGGCAGCGGCTTATTTTAAGCAGTGGCCATTTTGCAAAATCTACGCCCACACACACACGAGTACACTAAAGCAGAAACACGTGCTGCTGCCTAAAATGCATAATAGAGTGGATGGTCAAAGGAAGTACTCGTGTGCGGAGTGCGGGCACGAGCACAATTTCATTTTGGGGCCCGGCGGGAGTTGCCATCAATTCAGAATATGAAATTAACAACGGTGCGTATGCGTAATATGCGCAATGAAGGCCTAACATGCGTGCGTGTGAGTGATTGTTTGTGGAAGTGTGTGTGTGTGTCTGTACGTATGCGTGGCATGCAATAAATTTACAATTTCCCTGCATTTTGTTACATTTTGTTGCCCAAAAAGCGATCCGCAGCGAAGCAAATATAATTTACATGCGCGTCACTTACACGCATTGTTGTACCAGTGCACAGAGCTCGACCCGCATGCAATTAGAATGCAAATGCTGTAACAAATGGCTATAATAGAATTGAAAATATATTGCGCTTTCGGCTGGCCCAGCAAAAATTCGAATTTGACAGCTGCCCCGTCCGAAATAATGTACTCAAATTTTGGCAAAAACCATTCAACGGATGTTGATTAGTATGAAATGACAAGGCCGGATACACCGCATTCATAACGCGACAAAAACAGGGCTGCACGCAACGCTCAACTTCAATTTGTGTGACGTGACGCTGCCGACTCACTTGACCACTGCGCAGGGATTTGAAGCCGTGGACCACGGGACATTAACCAGACGCACAGCGGCCTTCCAGCTCTGCCCACGACTAAGTGGCCCAGCACAAGTGCAGCCAATTGTGCATTGTGAGTGCTCAGAGGAACGCATGCGAGTGTGTGTTTCGCATTAATGAGCTGTCCCCAGTGAATTCGCTTATATCTTTTTTTGCCTTTTAACTCTGTTGGAGTTATCAAAAAAGTACACGCAATGCTTAGCAGAGGGGGCCAGGTCCTGCAATTTATGGCTAACTATAGTGAAGAGGACTCCGAACAGCTGCGCTTAATGACCAACAGCACTCGAGCTCACAGGCTTTGTGTCGCCTGAGCAGCATGAGCAAATTAAGTGGTTCAGAAAGAAAATATTTTCAGTTAGATCGGCAATCAACCATGTGTGAGGGCACTATATTTGTCCCCTTAAGTGAAGTATTTTCCATTCAATTAAAAATAAACATCTTTTTAAAGTGAAAGCACTGGATTTTGTCTGAATTAAATACATTTTTATCGAATTTAAAATTTTTTTTTTTTTCAAATAAATAGTTTGTTTAGTAAGTGTTCATGTTCGTAGACTCATATAATTAAATATTGCTATTTAATTATTACTTTAATAGACAATAGTGCTGCTATTATTTTTTATTACTATTGATATTTCTGCCTCTCTCACATACCCAGGCTTGGCATCGAGCCAAAAGGAAATGTCTACAAAAGTGGCACGACTTAAACAAATGAAAATGTTCTGCAGGTTTCACATAGGAGGCTCAAATTACAACCACATACACCGTTATTTACATCCAAAAATGCCGAACCTTACTTTAGAATTAAAGACTAAATGCGTATGCAATGAAAATATTGACCTTAAATCAAATTGAAAGTAAATTGAGAGCGTTAATCGATTGTTGAGTGCCATTATAGGTTGACTTGATTGTTGATAGATGATATGCAGTTATTTAGACCGCACACATAAACGGCTAATGACATTCAGGTTATCAATCGTTCAGTCAAAGTGCCGAATGAGCGGACCATTTAAATTCAATTGGAGCGCCAGCTATACAAATGGCTCTGTGTCAGGCCCGATTAGCATACAATTTAAAGCTGCTCAATCAAACATAAATCACAGCAAGTGACTGCTGGACCTGCCGTGCAGAGATACAGCAACCGAACACAGCGCACAACATACGCTTAGAAACTTGCTGCCAGTGGGCAGAAAATTGTGCGTAGTAAATCAGTCAGAGAAGGTGAAGCTTGAAGATGGGCCCGGTGGCACGAGCAGCTCGACGGCAGCAAACGAGAGCAGTATAAGAAATCTATTTTTCAAAATGCAATTCGAAGAAATCAAACGGATAACGTGGAAAATTTATGTGCGTCTATTTAGCTGTGAGCTGGGCATTGAGCGCACGAGCGAACAAATATTAAGTATACGCAGCGTGAACCTTGTCAAGCCAAGCGCATGTATCTGGCAACTTTCTGTCTGTGTGTGTACGTGTGTGCAAGCAAGTAAGCAGCACAATTAAATTGGATTTATGGTGCGCGTGATTACAAAATGAAGTTAATGTGCATACAAACACAAACGCCAAAGAACAAAGTTTGAGAGCTGGGCGTCAAGCGAAGAAAAATGGCTCTCGAACTTTTTGAGTGCACGGAAATCGTACCTTGTTTGTCATGTCATCAATAAACTACACGATGAGCCAGCCAAGCCAGCAACCGACAGATACACAGGCGAGAGCAAATTGAATGAGCATATTAAAAATAAAAGGAAAAGTAATATACGAGAACATTTTTGCAAGGAAGTGCGAAGGAAATGGAAGTCTGCACGCCCAACTGGACATATTTCACTTATAAGTAGCAGCGACAACAACTACAACAACAACAACAACAACAACAACAACAACAACAACAACAACAGCAGCAGCAGCAGCAACACAATCAACAAACCGAGCAGCGAAGCGCATCAATGAAATATTTATGAGTGGCCCATGTAGATTTATGTATGTATATGCTGCCTGAGTGTCCGAACGGAGAGCGAATTGAAAAATTCATTAGCTGGATTAGCCGCCGGGCTACGTTGCTCCACTTGGGTTAAAGTTGTTTAAGCCTACTTGCCGTTTGAGTTTTATGGAATATTTGATGCGTCGACAGCTGCATAAGTTTTTAATCAGCTTCCCTTAAATATAACCAAAAACGGTTAACTTTTGTAAAAATAACCATTGGATCAGTTCGGATTTAATGAGCAAGCTGGAATAGTTTTTATCATTAATATATAAGTAGAGATATATGTTTTTTGAGTAATATTAGCTTTGTTATTGAAGTAATTTGTTTTTATTAAATTGTTCAAATTTAAAAAAGTTTAAATTGAAATAAAATTCGCTCTCATTTTGCTTAAAGTTTTTATTTTAAACTCTCTTATTAATTAGTTCTATTTTTTTAATAGATATTATGGTTTTATGCATGTAACAGGCAATAGGCGGAGGGACAGATCCCTTAAAATTTATGTACTACTGATCAGGACCCTTTGTGAATGCAGCGATTACTTAAGCCACAAAAGCTGAAAACTAGCAACAGCACGAAACCTTTAATATATTGAATGGATTTCTGTAATTCACAGGTATTTTTTTGTATATTTTAGATTTTGAATACTTTTAAAAGTTCTGTGGATAAATTTAAAATCTATAAACTCTTCTTCAATATTAAGCAATTCAACAAAGATCAGAGTCAAAGTA